AACGTTTCAGACCCTTCCGATAATTCCTCGAAACACGATACCGGTTGGACCTCGGTAGAAGCGGGACATAAACCAGTATTCTAAAAAGAAAATCCATAGAGTGGTATTGTTAGACTTTTTGTTGTAAGTAATGGAGGATTTGATTCAATCTCAAAAGTGAAATTCGTCGTGTATATAACAAATGAAGCGTGAACTGAAAAGTTGGGAAGCACTGGACAGTTTTATCTACCTGGTTGGGTCTCATTATCAGTGCAAACCCATCGACCCAACTGAGGATCGAACCCGGGACCTCACGAGCAGCTGATCATACCGTTTGTAACAATACTAGTTTGGATATCCACTTCAGGTAACGGGAAACGTTCTCTCCAGAACAAGGGCATGAATTTGTAAGAAATTGAACGCACCAATAAGAACACGAATTTCAAATTGCTTTCAAATAAAATGTCATTCGTTTATCGATTAAACAGAAAATAAACTGTAACATTTTATGAAAACAACCACAAGAGAATAGACTAAAAGTCGAAACACAAGTTGAAGAAGCGTACATTCAAACAGATTACCTCTTTTATTCACTGCGAAGTTCTACAATTTGTGAAAGCATGTTGTAATATTATCGATTTGCTTCCATAATTAGGATGCCTTGATGCTCAATTTCTGTACTACTTTTAAGGCAGTTCCATGCAGTTGTCATACAGTTAGTCATCCAATTGAAATAAATGGTTGATATCAAACTACGCGACCATTGAGCGGAATCTTCAAACAAAAACAGAGTAGAACTTTAGCATCCGTTTGAAGTTCATCACAAGGGAAACACTGAAGTCATATTCATTCTACCAGCCAGTCAAGAACATTGAAAGCCAGTTCGTCCAATCCGGGACATTTTTGTGCCCTAATCGAGACTTAGACTTGGGTTGGTAAAAGTGACTCATTTATACGAATGCACAGTTGGATGATGATGCATTACACCCACGATCACAACATTATTCGTTGCAGCGATCGCTCTTTACAAATTCCTAGTAAATAAACAAAAGCCCATCCACAGGATGAGTCTCTGCGACTGCTAGACCTTCTCTGATTCATGGTTATTTTAACCCTTGTTCATCTTTGTGGGATTCCCCATGCCAATAATCCGGAACAAGTGGTTTTTGATCAATTGTGCGATTTTTGCATTTGTTTGTTTTACCTCGCCGGACACAATATACAAATTTGGGGTTATTTCTATCCCTCATTACACACAATATGGTTGTTCAGAAAACTCATACACCTCACTAATTAGATTCTAATTATAAATTGCGCGTACTTTGTCAACGATTGTTTGAATTTCACCACTCATTACACCAACATCACAGTTTTTAACTCTTTGCATTCAGCCAGGTAAACAGCGGCACATGGTTGATAACTCGCCAGTTTCGGTGTTACTTTTGGTCAATGAAACAGTTCCATCTTTTCATTTCAATCGCATTTTCCGTCATTTACCGCGTCTGATTTAGTTCGAGAAACAGTTCTCCCCGAAAGTCATGTTAGCCTAATTGGTACATGACTTCATCCGTTGCGATTTTTTACAAACGTATGAATCGGTCTCAAAGTGTAGTACCACCAAAATATTCTGAAATTTTTCCTGGATTTTTTTGGTCCAAACAATCATTTTCATGGTTGGTTTCATTACTACGAGACCAAGAAGAAACTTTCTTTGCAAGTAACCCAGGAGGTGTTGTGCGCAAACTATTTTCCACAGACAATTACACAATGTTTTTCTGCATTTAGATTGCAGAACCTTGTGTGAAAAAAGCTTTTAATGCCTCCCAATTTTCCGTTTCAATCTCACTGTCCTAAATGTTCATACAAATTTGAGGATGTTCTCTTCATTCCGGCATCAACTGGATACACCTAGATCAGGATTTTGAAAAACTCCGGAGCATTTTACGCACACAGGAGAAAGATTAAGCCGAACGAAATCGATCCTACTGTATCTTTCACTATTTCTCTAGCCACTCCTATGCTATGGTTGTAATTGTTTTTATTTCAAACTGGTCACACTGACCAGACAGTGGTCCGGTCTGATTATCTTCCCCGTCATCGTTCGGTTTCGACTACCAACCAACCACCTACTGCTTCAACTCAAGAGCAGCAAAACTCCGAGTCATTAGTCATGCCAGATTGAGGGACCAGTGTTTATTTTCATTCCACCACTAATCGGTGAACATTTTTGATCTTATCTCTTGTGCAGACAGTGTCCAATTCTCGTGCATCGAAAAATTAGTCCTGTTCAGGAAAGAAAATATTACCTAGTCATGGATTGCTATAACAACCGTTTTCATTGACCTGTCACGTTATCTTTGGTTCTCACAATCTGAATGTTGCTCTCGGTCCGGGTAAACTGGTCCTCTTATCTCATGATTGCAGTGTCGGATAGGTTTTCTCCATCTCTCCCTCGTGGACTTTGCAAGAGTACTGGAAATCTGGAAAGGCAGGACAGGCAGAGTGCGATTGAGATTCGCCAGGTCGTCTAGACAAGAAAAGTAAATGGTATTTCCCTTAGAGAACAGCAGGTTGTGACCTCCTCATCCAATCACATTTAGCCCGGTTCATGCGTGGATTCTCTCTCCCCCTCGGTGTTCTATCTTTTACTCACAGAGCCAAAAAGCGCCGTTGAGATGTCCATCACAGCAAACGAGAGATTTAATACTCGCTTCTCCCATAGTTATTTATCTGTTTCAGACTTGAGCTCCGAGTTCTTCTGTGATTTTTGTTGTAAACAAGCTGAATGAAAACCCAAGGATCCGTTTTGTTTATGCCAGTCACTTCAGAATGATCCAGTTGTGGTATTCATTATTACTCATTACTAGTTAGGAAAACAGTCATCAGCGAATATTTTGGGCAAAGAGAAATTTTGGTGCCTCAACCAACCGCGCATAGAGCGATGATGTAAATACTGGTGGTGCTCCCACTTCTAGTAGTGGTGGTGGTAGTGATGAATGCGAGGATTGAGTGTGCTCGGGGGAGGAGTGTGATCCATGGATTTTGTGTAACAATGCAGATTGGGAAGCGACAGCATTTCAGGCTATTCGGAGTAGGCTGAGTACAACGTGATCCCAATAAAGAATTCATCATTGTGAATAAAACGTCGTGATAATTATCAGAATGATGCTTGTTTATCGCACATCTTTTGAAGCACACTGGATAATTTATATTCTGCTGTCAACTTCTTTGGAAATTTCTACTTCAAGTTTCGTGGTTTGTATCCTTCCTCAACATGTTTGTATGCTTTCAGAACATGTTCAAAACAAAGCTTGCATCTAATCTTCTGTCGAATGTCAGTTGTATCAACCACCACTGTGGCCCGAAATGGCACTTACCAAATCGAGATCCACTAAGAATATGACAAAATAATGAACAGCACAAAATCGTCCTGAACGACGTCGGTCAGTTTTTCTTTTTTTCAATTTCTTACTGGTACTTTGTCCACCAGAGATCCCAATCGAGCATCAAAATCTAAAAACGCGAACACAGTCGCTACGATAAGAATGCGTGCCACTAGTTTATTGTTTTCTATCGCATACATTCTTCTCTCTTACCTAAAGGCATGTTTATTCGACATGAGCATATATCGGTTCTGTGAACAAATCCACGAGACATCCGAACTGTAATTTTTGGCACCATAACTAGTGCTTCCAATTCGTTATCTTCACGGATTCCTCTCTAGCCCAAGCATATTTAAGCACAAACTGTAGAATAGAAAGTTTAGGTCAATCTTCTCATTTATTGACGGGGCAAATTTATAAATACACGATGTTTTCTGTGGATAATGACTGTTTCTATTTTGTTGCAAAGAGATCCATTGCCAGGCCGAAACTCGCCTTATTGCAGCTGATTATTGGCGATCACCTGTTCAGTGAGACAATGACCACCTAATCATGAGTAATCATGTGCATGACCCTTCTCTTATCGGCGATATCGAGACGAAACCCATAACGCTCTTTTGCAGTATCTGGACAAACCCCGAGTTGTCTGGAATCCCCCGACTGAGGCAAAGATGATTTGTAGGTAGTTATGACGGATCACTTTACCACGACCAGAATTCCGAAACCCACGGTGAAAACACTACTCCCTCTGTCCTTCAAATCAAACCTCATCAATGAATTTTATTGTAGTTTTGCAGTCACCGACGTAGGCACAATAGGGAGGTGGTTGCGTACGTGAGCGACCGAACACGTCCCTGCATTGATTGAACACGACCTGATGAGACTGAGGACGGTACAAACAACTAATCCGTCAATCCGGTAACACGAAGCTTCTGCATGTTCGACTACTAGTCATCTGCTACCGACTGTGAACCATATTGATCATGGGACATCGTTCCGGGTAATTTACACAAGCCCTTGTTATGTCAACAGAATCTGGTGTACATTAGTGTGGCATGGCCCTGGTAACCGTGAAAGCGGAAGAGTGAATTAGTATCATGTCTGTTTATAATCAGTTGCGATATATAAACTATTTCGTTTCCGAGGGCAACCATCAACTGAGGCTCAATGGAGTGATTGCCCAGTTTAACCGTGCTCCATTGCAGTGGTGTGTTCTTTATTCAAGTTTATTTCGAGAAATACTTGTTTGCTACTCAACCAGAATATTAACACTGAAGGGGAAATTTTAAGTCCATTTTGCACCGATGTTTGATCCGGGTTCCGTAAATAAATATTTGAAATATAAACAAAATCCCACGGTAACGGAAACGTTGGCGAATATAATTTTCTACCGACATGGCTGCGTTATTAACACTATAACATTCACAAAATCCCAACGCAACCAGAACATTCCCCTACAGTTTCGCGGCTTAGCCTTTGAGTGGGCATTTCAAATCGATGAGTTCAGTCTCCACTTATCTGGAACAATAATCAAGTGATCATGCGTAATGCCGCCTTGTATGTGATTTGTGAACACAGCTACCTCACCATCCAACGCATAAACTCATGGAGAAAGGTTAACACATCGTACCGTTCATTATGACACAGAACCGAGTGAGTTGTGTGCTTGTGTGATGCGCACGAGAAACTACTGTTTAATAAGGTCATAGCAGAAGTCCAGATAATTGCACTGACTAAATGAATATGCAGGTGATATTTTAAGATTATTGAAAAATATTTTCGAGATAGAGATTTTATGAACTCAATGGAACTACTTGTATGATAACTTGTTCCCATCTATCCTTACCTTTCAAATTTATTGTAAAGTGTCTAAGTTCTATTTTGGTGAACTTATCGGGAAAATAATTGAGAGCGATCACACATCCAACTGCATGTTCCCTGATGTAGCCTAGCTGACCCAAAGTTGAAACAACTACGTTCTAAGCACAGTAGGAATTATGGAACAGATGTATTATTATGAGAGCAGTCAGTTGGTACTGCACGCTTAAACTTGATCTGCCACAAGAGTAGAAAAAATAATAATATTGAGATATACATATACCTCAATATCTGCAACATCCTTTTCCTTTGACTCATTGGAATCAAACATGTGACAAAATATGAGCAGAATTGATATTATTCATCAAATTCGCGTGCTCTCAGTCATTTAATCGATTGGAATGCTATAACAAGAATATCATATATGAACATTTATAAGATTGTGTTGGTTTAGTCAGACAATTTGTTCATTTGGAGATGAGTAAACCAGGAGGGGGATAATGAATAAAATGATTATAGAATTCTAACCTGTTTAGTGTGCATAGAGAGTTGATCGAGAGCACGCGAAGTTAATGACCGATAGCAATTCTGCTCATATTGTTTTTGGCTTTATTCAAACATATATCACTATTGTTTAAAATGGTGCACCTGTGACATAGTTCTTTATACGTGTGTGTGTGTGTAAGTGAAAAGTTGCAAGTAACATTTCGACTGCCAATGTGACTATTGCCTTATCGTAGTCCCACCCATGGGCACTATTCCCAGTGGAACAATTGAATGCTTTTCAAACGCGGCTGCAAGTTAACACACAAACTTACCAAAATTACTCATTTTCTTCCATAAAATTCCGATCATACACGTCGTTTTCCATAAACAACCAACCTTAAACGTGTTCGTCCAACTAACCAGTTGTTTTGCTTTACCTCATCGCTATCCCACCCCTCTATACTCTTTGAAATCAAATAAATTCCAGTGATAAAATGAGATGCCCAAGTTGTCATTACTTGAATCACCAATAAAGCTATTTTTGCCATCTAACGTCCTTTGCGTCTTCGGGCAAATTACACTGATTCTTTTGTGCACACGGGAAATGTGACTTAGTTGAACTGTGCGTGTGCAACCTTCAGTTTTCGGGATCGGATGATAAATCTCAACGGCTACTTTTGTTCCACTCATCTGTCAGTAATATGCACATGTGCTCCGGTATACAAAAATTTCTTCAGATGTTCAAATGGAAGGGGAATTCGCACTTTTTCGTGTGTGTGCATGTGTGTATGAGAAGGGAAAGGGGTGTCGGATCGGAAGTCTTTTACGTTTAAACCTTTTTCTGACGCTGGCTTCGAGCCACACATGCATACGCACACACACACACACACACACACAGATACATACAAATGCAAAAATTACAAGTGTATCTCAGGAAGTGGAATGCTTTATTCCTACTGGTCATCGAATGCAAAATGAGGGTCACATTTATCAAATCGCTCTTTCCCCATCTGAGTGAGGAATTCAGAAAAATAGAGCTTCCCTGTCATCGAAGTGTGTGCATGGCGACTCTCCTGCCTCCGAACAACACACATACCCACTCTAGTCCCAATCCCATCCGGTTTTTCTTGGCAAACAAACTACTCGCGGACCGATCCTTAATCGACCTCCGTTTTCACCGCTCCAACTCCCCCTCGCACGAACTGTCTCCTCCACCACTTCTACTATCCATTTACACACTTCTATTTATCCGGCACAACGGCGGCTCCATATCCATTACAATCCGGACAGCAATGTACTGCAGAGCAGAACCGGAGATATCGGTTCAGTCCATTTTTTTAAAGCACAAGTCACAATGAAGGCGACTGACATTAGAGATGATTCGATCGCTCACCTACAGTAAACGGAAAGATTTTAGTTTGTGTTCGAAAATCTATATAAATATTTCACATTTTCATGCCCAAAGTACTGAGCATATACACTACAAATATATTTAGGACGCCAAATTTTCACTTTAGCGCCATTGTCGACACCCGGGTACAGGAATGAAACGCAGGACCGTCTGATGACGCTTAAGAGAACCGAATAATAAATTGCTTTCGTGAAACCTAATTATTGGAAAATTGTTTTCAAATCAAGACTCCTACAATGGTGTGTGTGTGTGTGTGTGTCCGTGTGTCTATGCGCATAGGGACCAGTCACTAAAATTTGCTTGGTCCGACTCAAGTTGATGTTAAAAGCAACCTCCTTCATCCCCCCCCACACCTCCCCCCTCCCGCCCCACCCCACTCATTTTTGACTTCACCATATATTGGCCGTATGTGGTCCATCCAGAAAACCTATTTCTATGCGAGTACATCAGTCCACTTCAAGGTGTTTCGTTCCTTCAGCTTTTGTAAATGTGCAAGTGTTCAATTTTATGGATAAACGCTTTTTTGCTACCGAGTGCATCAGGGTGTTAGTACCGACGTCCAAATGCTGTCATATGTGTTCCAATTGTGATTTTGCTTTATAAATGCTGCGATTTCTCCACACATGTAAAAAAAATGTCAGAAGTCGAAAGGTCCTAATGCAAGGTATTGTTTCATGAAAACGCTGTACAATTCATGGGACATGACTTGGAAATGCACAAACGTGTCTAATAGACTTAACTGCTGAAAAATATCCGATCTAATGGCAAAAGTTGTTTGTTGCTTTTGTATCACAAACGATCTGTTAGCTGGAAATAAATTAAACAGAGGAAAACGAGCTTGTGGAGATTGATAATGTGACGTTAGTGAATCATCACCATTATTTCAGTTCACAGGAGGACAATGATTCAAATCCCTTCACTGTCACCTAGACTGCCCAGAACTTTATTTCCTCGGCAGGTTTTAAGCAGCCATAGGTCCAAATCTGAACACAATCTGTACAATTTTCCATTTGGTAAAGAAGTAGTAACAGATTACAGTTAATTTTATAACAATAGGTATTACTATACGAGTATGCCGTTTTATGGCTCCCGTTTCCCTAGGCTTCAATCAACCTGGGTTAAAATCCAGTCTCTCCCATTAGATAGTTTTAATTTGGGGTGTGAGGGGTTAACGTATATGTTCTCGAGAATTGGTTCGAAACCAAACTGAAACGGTGCGTTGTTTCATATGGGCTCGGATAACAGCAATGAAGTCTACGGAAGAACGCAATAAAAGCAATTGGGTCTTTCGCTTTTTGACGCTTTGCGGGAGAGTTTAATCACAGAAACATTATGACTTGATTCGTTTTTTATTCTGAAAATTTAGAACTTAATGAGACAACGAAAATTCCAGGATTTTATATACCATTTGTATAGAATATTCGTGAATCGTTCTATCATGTTATTCATCATAATTCAATCAGGCCGCCTAAAACTCTTGGATATCCAAAGATTCCAACTCGGACGGATAATGACGTATCGGCCGGAATCACTCGCGCTGTAGTCTATGCTGATCGTCAGACTGCCTGCTTCGCCCAGGTGTCCACGCCAAGTTGAATGAGCATAATATAGTGTGATCTATTCATAACTGAATTTTACTGCGACATGTTTCAACAAAGTTGTTCAATTTGCTCCACCATAATGAGACCAAATGGACCGTAAGGTTTTATTTTGTCTCCAAGTCGATTTTACATCTCATTGACCCCATTTCCTAATTTCCACTCGATTGAGCCGATGAATCGACGCTGCTGATTGTATTCTATAGAGACCATTTATGTAATTTTCCATATAGGCAGGAAGCAAATCACAGTATTTGGTCAGGAAAGATTCGGTTTCATTCATCAACCATTTAAATACCACATACTGCAACTAGTCAGCACAGCGAGAGATGTTGACTATTTTGAGTTGCAAGAAATGAAACAATCTGAAATGTGTATATCATTGTATTTATGCAAAACATAAGTTGAGTTCATCTTATGGTGATCGGGGCGTCTGTGTAATTAACTTCTCGGCGTAGATCTGATCCGAACTGCTTTGGTTGATCCAAACAACTTTGAATGACGTTCACAGTTTGATTCGTTGTGACCAAATCATTTCGCACTCGGCGATCCCAGATTTCGGTTAGGATAGCTCCCAGGTAGATTGATACAACTCATGTGTTACAGAATATGAGACATAAGTACGTTCCGCTACACCGTTTTACAGCATCATTTTAAGTTTTTGCCATCATTTTCAATTGTCCGGATATTAAACTGAGGTGTCTATATGGGACGTTGATCCTTTTATCTTAGGCCTACATACCTTTCAAGCTTAATATGATACCTATTCAGGATATTGGCCTTTTAGCTTTTTTAAGTGCCGATGGGAAGGGAACAAGGCGATCACGTGATCTTTATCAAAACCCCCGAACTCACGACTGCCCAGCAGTATTTACCTTGCGCGTACGTGATTGAATGTATTATATGTATTAGTTCTCCCGTCATTGGTTCCACTGACACCAAAAGAATCACGCTTGACCGATTAGTGCGTCACTTTTTATGCAGAATAGCATTCATTCGGTTCAATTTTTGTACAATAAATTCCCTTGTTCCATTTTTATGAGCACAAATATAATTCCTACACTTCAATTGGCAATCAAAATACACATTTTCACTGTATCTCTAGATTGGAATGATCTGCTCTTATCAAACCAACTGTGTTCAAAATATTTTGAAGAGAGTAAGCAAAATCCATCACCAATTAAGCGATAGCTGTGTAATTTTACAAAACGATTTTTGGTTCAAACCTGGGCATCTTTATCAAACCCCCCAGTTGTCCGAGTGTGGTTTGTGAATTGGTTCAGCAACGAGAAATTGTTCCATCGTGGTCGCGACGTGTATTACAATAATTATCCTGAAAACATGACCGGAATGGTAGTATGTGACAAATTACCTCCGCAAATACATCTCGCTTTAGAAGATTACCGGTCATCCCAAAATGCAAATTTGGCTTAACAGTGTATGCATGGTTCTGCTTCTAGCTATTGGACAAGGCGCAGTCTGCTTCCCGTCCTTCTAAGGTACATCCTCGAGGCTGATTGCAAAACATGCGAAAATTCGTTTGAATGGGGTTATTCTATAATGACATTGTATTGCACTCATCAGTCCACGTAATATTCTTATCTACCGCCAGGTTCTGTTGTGCAGTGAGGAAATTCATGACTTCTGTGGTTTGAAATTAGCGAGCAGTTAAGTATTTCTCCGTGTCGATCATGCAAGTATTCTCTACTGAAATGATGGCGTTGCTTAAAATACATCCTGCTTGTATTACCTGATTCATAAAGTACATCTTCAGTATGAGAAAACTGTTTCTGTACGTGTGCATTCAATGGAGTAGTACAATCCTGACAGGCGATGCACGTTGGCTAACAGTGCAGGGCTTGTAAGTGTACTCAAAACTGCTTAACAGATTGACTTCATATGTCCGTTCCTATCAGATATATATTTCTTTTACTCTGTTTATGCTCTTTTAAACACGTTGATCTGATAGCGATATCTCATTTTGTTCCGGACATGCGGTCAAAATGGTCATCTCGATAATTTGGTGGTTGAAAAGTAGAAACCGTATTTTTGCCTCTATAGTTGTAATGGAGAATCGAGACATATGATAAAAATGACTCGACTTCTTCATCAAAACAAAGCACGCACAACTCCAACTAACCGCCTCAATCTCTTTCTATCAAATTATACTAATCTTAGGTGTTCTACTTGTACTTTTGTAAACGAAGGCATTATAGTAATAATATAAGTTTACCAGTGCAGGGAATTCTTGGAAGAATAACTATTCTCGAATTATATTAGCCACTATGAGACTCATTCAGTTCCTTTATCCATAATCTTTTTCAGGGTTGCCGCGACCGACTGCTTAAACTATCTACACAAATCCAAAATACTTGGGCTAAGCAGGACGTGGTACTACGTGTCAATCGGGCATGGATTCAACCGCCTCCGCAATACAAACCCAAACCCGTCGATTCAAACAGTGCCGGGGACACATCAGAGACCGATGCCGGTAATGCAGAATCTTTGCTGTACAATCACGATTCCAGTGGAAATGAAGGTCCAACCACAAGTCACATGCCCCACGCTCAGCAAACAGTCTCCACCTCTGCTTCTGCACCTGCGCATCGCACAGCCGGACTGGGACGTACTCAGTCCGGTCCGGATATGCCTTCACCCCCCATCATCGATATGACTCCAGAAATGATGGTGGATGAGAATCGTCCGGATTCGATTGAACAAACCTCATCTGGTCGATCGCACCCAGTGAATATCCATTATGACTACCTCTCTCTCGTTCCCCCACCATCTCCAATACCAACACTATCTAAATGGTCAGCGATGCAGAACTATCGATTCGGTTCTCATGGTCGAATCCACTCCTCTCGGTTTGATCGACCCCATATTCAGCCAGCTCCACTTCGTTATAATCCGTCAAACATGGACTTCCAGCCTCCAGCTGGAAGACCTTATCGTGGTACAAGCGCGACCAAGATGATGCGATTGCCTCGACACATTAATCCAGCTGAGGACAGTGCTAATGAGACCAAATCGCTCGAGTCGAACACAACTCGAAATGGACGAAAAGTGGGTCGGTCGGTTTATTCCTTACCCATGCCATTGGACACTGGTTATACCAGTGTGAACACCATGAGTCAGTTGGCATTCGAGCAGTGGTTACAGATGCGAATGGAAGAATTTCATTATGCCGGTCGGGCAGTCGATGTTCAGCTGGTCTCGCGTGCAGGTTACATTAATATGCGTAATCCGGAATTCAGTTTGGGTGTACTGGCACAAATTGCCTACTATGTGGCTCAGTTTGATTGGTGTTATTTCAGTCGATCGGGTCACGTGCACTGTTCAGTAAAACCAGGTGAGTGTTTGTGTTTCTGCCTTGTGTCTTGTGAATGGATTCAAAAAGACATTGTATAGCATTAGTTTTCATTAACCAAAGAAATCTAAATCAGCTCCACTACCATCCAAATCTGTTTTTGTCCTGAAGCAGATTGCCAGAAAGACAGAATAACAGTTCCGAGTGTCTTTTCATCTACTTCAACCGGTTCCGGAGGCGTACAATAAGGGTTACTTTTGAGCCATCATTGCTTAAGGTATATACGTTTTAAAGGCAAACCAGTGACTTTGGAACAACAGAAAGGATAAAAAGTTAGGTACTAGTAAAGGGACCTCAAAGTGTCCCATCTCTCGAAAAAATTATAATGAGATGTCTGTTTGATAGGCAAATGAGTAGTATGTTTTGGAATCCTGATAAATCACAGAGGTCGAAAAAGCAGTATTTCAGTGACTGGTAACTTGAATTCATCAATAAATGATTTGGTCGCAATAAAATCAGAACATGCCATACTAAAACCAGATCAATTAGGGCTTGTGCTTCCTAAAGATTGCCAATTACCAAGTCGTCCCAGAAATATTGCCATTTCTGGAAGATTTGTTTTTCAATTATTGAATCAAATGACTAATCAATTGAAGGAAAATATGGATTACGCAACGACACACATTATTCTAAATTAAAGCGGTTGAAATTTTACCAAAAACCCACATGTTTCCGACTGGCTTCTTCGTAGTTGTTTATGACAGATAGATATCGAGGTGAAACGGGTTTCAAAATTTCATCGATGAATTATAAAACCTCGGTTTTGGAGAAAAAATTCTGCTTATTAATCCTCAGGCTAAGCCTAAGAATATGTAGTCTGAATTTCCACTAATCCACAGTCTAAGCTGCGGCCAACATGAACCCGTTCACTCTCTTGTGATCTGATGTTAGTTCACTAACAGCACTAAGCCTTTTGCAAGTCACCTTATTCAAATATCATTTCAAGATGTCTGGGTATCGTCTCAATTTGTTTGAGTATCATTTCAAGATGGCTGAGCACCACTTCAGGCTGTCTCATTGATCTCATCGGTGCTGGCAAGCCTTCCAGCGATTTCTGAATGATCACCATGCGGCACAGATTGTTCTACCTCCCGCTGAAGCGTGGGTGGACGATTGTGAGACGTACCTTGGTCACACGCCCCAAATCCTTAAGACATACATATTGTTTGTTTATCTTGCATACACGCGTACGCGTCTCTGTGCGTGCCTGCGTTTTCATCCCCCTCCACTGATACCAATGAATCATGCGTGATCAACGCATAAGTCATTGCTTACCTCCGTAGCATGACTCTGCAATATAATTCATAAACTGCACCTCAAGCGGTTGCACTGAGACACCAGTCGATCATGCGCGATCGATATACGCATCAGTGTTTGCCGATTCACATTCAGAACATCTTTTTTGCTGGAAAACCCACTACTACTCATGGCTGTAATGGCTGTAACGCGTTGATCTGTCGGAAGCGGAGTGCAACCTTGGCTAATTGTTTACTCTGTGAAGGTTTTAAATTGTTTGAATAAACAACTATCATTTCGAGTGGTAATATAAAGGAAATGTCTCGTATAACTAGGTGCTATTGGATTCGGTCAGTCAGACAGACCACGGACAATAAACTATCGCCAAGGATGTCGGATTTTTGTTGTCGTTGTTTTAGTTGGCAAACGTGTCAGGTAACAGAAGCTCAAGCTCGGGAAAGGTTGTGTGAATTGCTCCATTAGTCAAATTCTTCTCCTCGGGCGCAGAAAGCCGTTGTAGTTCAGTAGGATCAAATCGGCTCG